TAAAATGTTTTATTGTTATACTTTATATCCCTAGTTTAATTTTGTTTTGTGCCATGGCGCCTCTAATTTTGTCCCTATGTGCTCTTGGGTTTTTTTGGTTTTTTATATATATTCATCCTTCGTAATTTGATCTAGTGTCCACTTTTTGTAGAACTTTTGAGAGTTTCAGGTCACTGAAGATCTCCTGGTTAAACACGCTTACCATACATCCTGTCTTGCCTGCACATAGGGATAGTTTGCTCTTGTCCCCTTAATGTCTCTAAAAAACTGACAACTCACCTGCCTTCCACAGGATCTTACCTACCAATTCTCTGATTTGGCAAAGTCTCCCTTCCTGAAGTCCATTGTCTTTATTCTGCTGTTTTCCCTCCTGCCATTTCTTAAAATCATGAACTTTATCATTCCATGATCAGTCACCCAATCTGCCTTACACCTTCAAATTCTCAACCAGTTCCTCCCGATTTGTCAAAATCAAATCCAGAATAGCCTCTCCACTATTTGCTTTCTCTATCTTCTGTAATAAAAACTTGTCCTCAGTGCATTCCAAGAACTCGTTGGATAATCTGTGTCCTGCTGTGTTATTTTCCCAACAGGTGTCTGGGTAGTTAAAATCCCCCATCACCATCAAGTCCTGTGCTTTGGATGATTGTTATTTAAAAAAGCCTCATTCACCTCTTCTTCCTGCTTAGGTGATCTACAGTAGATCCTACCATGACATTACCCTTGTTTTTTACCAAATATCTTTACCCAGAGATTTTCAATATGTCTGCCTTCCACTTCTATCTTGACCTCAGTACAAGTGTATACATCTTTGATATACAAGAAAACACCTCCTCCCCTTTTTCCATGCCTGTCCTTCCTAAATAAGTTGTACTCTTGTATACCAATATTCCAGTCATGTGAATTATCCCACAAAGTCTCAGATGCCAGTTATGTCATAATTGTGATTATTCACTAGTATTTCTAGTCTTCTGTTTATTCCCCATACTTCTTGTATTAGTAATACAGACATTTAAGAGGAGAAATCTAATGAACATCTATGTCCCCTCTTGTCTCTCCTTTGTTCCCCGCTATGAGTGCCCCTGTTCCCCCGAAATTCCAGCCCTTCACCCTGGTCTCCATGTTCTGGACTTACCTGTGGGCTTTTGTCTCCTGCCAAAGTCAAACCTAGTTTAAAGCCCTCCTCACTAGGTGACCAGTCTGCATTCAAAGCTTTCCTTGACAGGTGGGCCCCATCTCTGCTCAGCAGTCCTCCTCAGAACAGCATCCCGTGGTCAAGGAAGCCAAAGCCCTCCTGGCGACACCATCCTCACAGCCAGGCATTCACTCCAGGATGTGTCTGCTTCTGCCTGGGTTCCTACCCTTGACCAGAAGGATTGATGAGACCACCACGTGCTCCCTAACTCCTTCACCCTCACTCCCAGAGTCCTATAGTCACTTCTGATCTGCTCAGCGTCCTACCTCGCAGTATTATTAGTGCCTACATGGATGAACAGTATGGGATAATAGTCATAGGGCTGGATGACCCTTGACAATACTTCTGTAATGTATCGGATACAGGTCCCTGATGCAGCACACCTCCTGTGGTGCCTATCAGTATGCACCGCTCACACTGGGTGGTCTCCCCAGCCTGGCTTTCTATGATGGGGAAATACAGGCCACAGTGTCTGCAAATCCACACCAAAGCCTGGGTAGAGACTTCCATGCTTGGGTTCTCTGGCTGGACACAGGTGCAGGTAGAGGAGCCAGGAGCAGTGTGGGCACTGCTGATGTAGCCTTTCCAAACCATGATTTTATTGTCTGTCCCTCCTATAAGATCCCTCTGAAACTTCCCTGTTTGCTGCTCCTTGGTTATTTAGCTGCTGGCTTTAAAGCCCCTTTCTCCTAGTCAGCCCTGCCCCCCTCATTAACACACAGAGAAAGAGTGAGCAAGGCTCAGAGGCCAGGAGGTGAGAGCCTCGCTCATGCACACTCAGCTAGCTGCTAGTAGGCCTCTGGCCCCCACAACCACATAATTCCCAAAAGACTGTAAACTTTAAGCAAACCAGAAGAAAAACCAAAACAGACAGACAAGCTCACTCACCCCAAGAGTTGGCTCTCACTTCTTCAGCAACATCCCTCCTCCTGCAGCGAGAACCCACCATAGTCTGCAATAACCCCTATGCACAAGTTTATGGTCGCTGGATCTGCGTAAGTGAAGACTCACTGGCATTCGCCAACCCACTACCTTCAGGCTCCCCCTGGGCACCTGCTCCAGTGCTGTTCACCACTTCTGTGGTCGGATTTCTCCATGGCACTTACACTGATGATTTCACTCTAAGTGAATATAGCTAATGTGGCAGTGGCAGATTTGCATCCATCAGCTGAAGATTTGGGGAAAGGCCCATGAGTGGGGCTTCACAGGGCAATGATACTACACAGGGTTTCAAGGCATCCCTTTGTTAAATTACCTTGGCTACATAGATTTCTGTGTTGTGCTTCTCACATGACAGATGACGGGATCTATGGTGTGGAAGTTCTATGCAACAATGCTCTGTTATGATAAAAAGAGCAGAGACAGTGGCTGCTGCTGTAGGCTCATTCATTACCAGAATCAAGAGACCCACATAATGTTCCTGCAGACATTCCCCCTTATCTTTTATAGACAGCCTCTGGTGAGATCAATCAATTTTTACAACAGCCCAGGGAGTGATTCTCTCCAGCGCATGCTCTCCACCTTATGCCTTAACTAGGCTCTGATAAACAGGGCTCTGAATCTGGCTTGGAAAAGCAGCTTAAGGAAAAAGAATCTGTTAAAACCAATTTGAGATGAGTCATTAGGAAAACTCTTCTGGGACAGATGGAGGAATAGTGGGGATGACGCAGCTAGGGTGCATTTATGATCAAATGCTGGCTAATGACAGCTTTCTGAACATCAGGACTCTCCTAACACATGGACATACATCATCAGATACAAGACCAAAGGATAAAGAGAACCATCCTACTGGTTAGGAATCTCAAGATTCATGGCACAATGATGTATTCTACGGCAACCAGCCTTGCCATAGCTATCCTGTTACCTACGATCACCACGCTCAACACATCACTTACAAATCTGCTGATTTTCATGGTAATATTCCAGAACACTGCATAAGCACAGTCAAAGTGCACGGGGGTGTCAAACTCAAATCACAGAGGGCCATGTTTTATTTTTAATTATGGTCCAATTATGGTTCATACATATATGAAAACATACTCAATTCATCCAGTGAGTGGGGTTTGTACAAAACCAAGGGTAGAATATGGCCCTTATGTACTAAATAAATACAAGTTTAGCTTAGTTATTTGTTTAGTATCTTATAGTCACATCCACAACACTCAGCAGGAAAATACACCCACCCACCGGAGCAGTGCTGTTTATGTCCTTTATTACTTTTCATTCTTCATCTTTCTCAGTTTTTCCCTCTTCACCTCCTACGTCTGTCTCTCCCTTCTTCCCCCTTCACTTCCTTCCCTGCAGCATCAGTTCCCACCTCTTGCCCATCCACTAAGATCATCAGACATGAAAATGTGAATGCTGATATCTAAATGTAATCAATTTGGTGTTAACACCCAATGAGTTAAATGTGGGGTGGGAAGGTCACATGTCAGTCATTATTTCAGGCTCTCTGTAGACTTACAAAATATACTGCAGCAGGTTACTCTATTTTCATATGGATGGTTTTCATCACAACTATGAAGAGATACGAATCTTCTTCTTGTGGTTAAATGAAATCTTAGACTCTATAAACTCAGAACACCGCCATGGGCCCCATAATTCCACAAAGAAAGGTGGGTATTTGATGCCTTTGCATTAGACCCTCGGTTTAGGGATGGGCAATGTCCTCTCCTTGGCTTTTTGGTAATTTAAGCATTAAACTGGATCTGAAAAGAATCAGAACCTTTTTGAATTCTCACCAATGGATTTTGATGCATCAGGATTTCTTCTTGTTAAAATACAATTCATCACAAGGATGGTTTTTCACTCCACTGAATGTCATGTTACTGGAAACGAATACATTTCTTGGTTAGTGCTCTGGCAAAATGTATTTTGTAAATGTTGTATGCTTCATAAAAAAAGCAATTTAAGTGCTGTATTTCATTAAGAGGTTACTGCCTACTGAAAGGCCTTAGTGCCAGTATATTTCTATTTATGTGGTAAACCCCTCCCTGTTAGTATTCACTTATAATGCTGGAGTCAAAATCGTTTGTGAGAATAACTGACAGTACAAAGGAGTCCATTACTACACTTGTATAATCTATTACAGTATTTAGGCCACTGCTGAACTGACAGACAATTACTACATCATACAGGAAAGCAAGTAAGCCCGGAATATCGTCAATCAAAAACCTAGCCGACGGAGAACTTCATCATTGAGCCTCAAAACCCTTAAAACTGCTCAGACAACTATCTCAAGTCCTATCTCAAATCAAATTTCTGTCATCCCTCTTCTCTGCTACAGAAAAAAAATAAAATGTGCCAATTGTTCTCAAACTCAAACTCAGAACTGCAATTGGGAGCTCCTATTTATCTCCATAGCTAAACTTCCATTGACTTTATTGGGGGCAGGATCAGAGCCTCTCTCTAAAGTGAACACCTCTAGTAATTGCTGTAGCCAATATTCAACACAATGTCAGATTTTCAAAATATTAGCTATTGTAGTGTAAACTATAGTAATAAGGAATATCACTGGCTGCTGGGAACCTCCAGGGAGGTGAGGCTAGGCTACCTCCTTCAGAGTAAATGCAAAAAAAATCCCCAAAGTGTATCATCTGCTCATTTCGCTTCCCATACACCTGTTCCACTATTCTAACAACAGGCAGGCTGGTAAATTCCAGTAACATCAGAACGCAATTGCCCCAGTAAGTAAGAAAGAAAGAAATATTTTAGGCCATGAAAAAGGGACAAATATATACATAAAAATAACAAAAACAATGAATCTGAGGAGAGGAGACACACAAATATTAACATTACACATTCATAATATATGAATTTTGTTCCTTTTATTGATTGCAAAGTCTTTATTAAAAAGAAATGGTAGATATGAAGAGATTAAATACATTTATGTTGCTGCCAACCCTTTAGAGGGTATTGGAAAGCAAAATGTACCTTAACATTCACAATTTATAAAAATGAGGTTTTATAAAACTTAAGACTAATAGAAATGTTTCCCTTAAAAAATAAAATCTAACAAAATAGTTGCAGGGAACATTTAAGTAAAAACAGTGTCTGAAAAGAAAAACAACAACGTAGCACTAAGAAACTGAAGTGTTGTCATATGGACTGCACAAAATTGAATGGACTGCATGACCTTGCTGATTTTCATTATTTTAAAGAGAAAAGAAATAAAATTGAAAAAAGCAAAACATAAAAGGTTTAAGTGCCCATTTTTTAAAAATTACATCAGTTTAAGGAATCTGAAAGGTCATTGATTTTAAATATTTTATTATAAATGTCTGATTTTAGTTGACCATGTGCTCTAAGTGGGGAAAAATTGGGATTGATAATCTCAACAAATATTAACAAAATTATGCTTTGCCAGTACTAAATGCAACATCTGTTGGCATAACTAAAGGTTTATTTTTTGAACGTTTTATTGCGCTTGCAAAAAACGCTTTAAAAATATTTTAAAAAGCACAAAAAGCCAGGACTTTGCTCCATTAAAATTGATACTACAAGGTTCTGACAGCTGCAAATTTAGCAGAAATCCGGAATCCAATGTTCTCAGGGTTAAGTGGCTACATAGGACTTAGCCCTGCAAAGCACCACTGAAAGAAACATGGATAGCTAAAGCACTGGTGATGAGCATTTTCTCAAGAACTGTGCTGCAGTCTGCATGTGGTACTGAGAGATGTATGCAGTTTTGAATCATGTAAGCAAACCTCTATGGCCATGCTGCAATGAGCGCTCATGAATGGGAAACAACAACCATTCTGTCAGAAAAGACGGGACATGGTCAGGGAACGGTATAAATCTGTTGTACAGTGGTCATTTTAATTATTTTAAGACGATTTTGCTGCCACCCTTAAGTATTGCTGCTTTACACAAAAGTGACTTGAGGAGCCAATGGTAAACTGAGAAAAGAGGGTGTTTTGAGGCCCAGACACAGAAAGAAATGAAACCATATCGCTTACAGCCAGCTGCTCAAAGCCTCATGGCATATGCTAAGGACTGTATTTTTGCTGCCCAACATCCATTCCATTCAGCTTAATTGCCTTAATGGATCAACAAGAACAAAGCCCCAGTGGCTCAGTACTGCCTTCTCTCAGCCTTCCATACCCTTGCAAGATCAATTCCTTCAAACTTACAGTTTATTTCCTGGCTCTAGCTATGCTTCTCCACGTTCTTGAAATTGAAAAAGGATGCCGGGGGGGGGGGGGAGTACATGACATTCTTCCAAGAAACAAAATCATCAAACCACAATAGGAAGTTTTGAAATTTTAGAAAGGCATCTCATGACAATTCACCCTTTAAGTTGGTTTTCCAAGCCACTGAAGAGGTTGGGCATATCCTCATTCAGTGAAGGACAGTTGACAAGTCAATCACTTACAGGAACTTCTCTTCAAAATGCAGTCACTGGCACTTTCACAAAAGTTGTTCTTTGGGAATACACTTCATTTTCTTTAATGAACAACCTATATTTAAACAAAACAAAACAAAATGCATCAGTGAATCCTCCTCTAATAAAGTGTTGCACTTGTTTCTTACTTTAGTATTTTTTATGGTTTTTAACCTGGTGGTTCCTAACCTGTGGAACAAATCCTCACCCAGATTATCTCTTTATTCCTTCTTTTAACCTGTATTTGATAATTTCTGTAAAGACGACTGAATCTGAACAATTCCACACCTGCTGAAATACAACAATTGATGGCCCTGACAAAATGTGTCCCAATTAAACAAAAGTTTCACTAACACTGTGCAGTAGTCACTGCCATTCATTATCATAGCCTAATTAGTTCCCTGGGAGATGCCCCACTAAAGCGTGTGTGTCAAAGAAGCACATCCTAATAAACAGAATTATTCTACATGAAAGTACTCTTTTCCTCAAACTCCTTTACAAATTTTTCCTTGCAACATCCAAGTAGGGTGACCAGACAGCAAGTGTGAAAAATCGGGACAGGGGCTGGGGGGGTAATAGGAGCCTATATAAGAAAAAGACCCAAAAATCAGGACTGTCCCTATAAAATCGGGACATCTGGTCACCCTACATTCAAGACAGCTTAAGAGAGAGGAAAAGCACATTTCCTGGATGAGTAAACTTGCCTTCATCTTCCTCCTGATGGGGATATTCTTTCCCAGTCTCTTTCATAGATCTTCTTTGGTTGTACACCTCTTTTTCAAGGCCTTCTAGCCTCTGCATATCTGCCTGAAAACTTATTTGGAGATCACCGCTGTCCTTTAAAAAGTCCTTTGTCATCTGTATCCTATTTAAGTTCTACAGCAGCAGCAAAAAAACAAAAACGTATCGACAGAGCCAAATCATTACAATATAAGCTTCTTCACGATCACACTTTCTCAATATGCATATGATTTCCACATTCTCCAATTATAAAAAGGCTTTTTTGTTGGCTTGTTTAGGATTTCTGCATTTTCTGGCCAGAAATATACAGTCCTGCTATTAGACTCATTTATTTTAAGTATGCAGTGTTGTAGCTGTGTCAGTCCAAGGACATTAGAAAGACAAGGTGGGTGAGGTAATATCTTTTATTGGACCAACTTCTGTTGGTGAGAGAGAGACACACGTGTTCGAGCTTATACAGAGCTGACCTGAAGAACTCCGTGTAAGCTGGAAAGCTTGTGTCTCTCACCAACAGAAGATATTACCTCACCCATCTTGTCTCTGTATGTATTTTAAGAGCTAATTTATTTTAAGCTCTTTTTAGAGCAAAAGCTGGTGAGTGGGAGTGTAGCTTCAGCAAAACGAGGACAGAGAATATGGGAAACACGTGAAGCTGAAGGCAGGTTGCCTAACAATCCTCAGCAGAGAAGAATTTAAACTCAGGTATGATACATCATCTTTAAGATACTGGTCCACGTAAAGGACTTGTTCAGACCATCCCTGTGGACGAAGGATTTTTATCATGTAAGCAGATAAAAATTTGACAAAGGCAGGTGATCACTGATGGAAGATTGGACTGTAAAGCTGCCTCTGTCGATGAAGTCCGAACAGCTTCACAGCAAAACAAATCCAATATGCATCTTACCAAACCTGTTATGGCACATGCACCGTACATTTTACATTTAGATAATACTCCTGCCTTGAGTGTGGGGGACTGGACTAGATGACCTCTCAAGGTCCCTTCCACTTCTATGATTTTATTGTCTCAGACTTTAAACTGTACCCGTAGATTAATATTCTGTTAAAGTGGAGTGATGTTAACAAACAGCAAGAAAATTATAGCTTACGGTTGTTACAGTAACCTTAATTCATCTTGACTCATCTGTGTGTGTTCTAGCACATGTTACATGTATTTGAATGTATATTCCCAGTTCATTTCTCCTCTCCCCACAAGCAAGAATTCAGTGCAAAGACTTAAGGCTATCTAAACTCTCTATTTTTTAAAAGCGAGGGTGAAATGAGTTAAGTTAAATTTTATTTGTAAGATATTGGCCTATTTGCAATTTCAATTGAAAAAATATTCCCAATTTCTGGCAGGTTCCCCCCCTTCATCGTATGATGATGTGAGAGGAAAATTCACTTACAGTCTTTGGTAATCAAGTCTTCCCGGCTCACAGATGGAGACTACGGGAGGCAGCTCATCCCAGAAGAGATCTTTTCAGATGGTACAAGCAACTGCAGCTCTGGGGAAACTAAAGCATGCAGCAAGAAGGGCCTGAGAAAAGCAATTCCCAACTCTGCCAGAGACCAGCAGGCAGCATATACTACACACATGCAAGGAAGCCAAATTACGAAGCCACTGTGGTGACCACATCTTTGCATGGCATGCAAGTTTAAAATATCTGACATAATGTTGAAGGATTTTTTTTTAAATTTAACTATTGTTTAGAATTTATTTGAAAAGGTGGGGTTCTTTAAAAAAAATTCTCATCGGGTTAAGATGAGGATTTTTACATCTGGCGTAGAGAAAAAGCTAAATTTAAAAAAGTTAGAAGCATTTGATGATGGGAGGAAAATGTAGACCAGGACAGAGGTTCTCAGACTATGTCTGTGGACCACCAATAGTGTCAAAATTTCAACCTGTGCAATCAAACATTTGGTGACCGGGCAAGGAGGGGAAGAAGGTGACCATGAAAGGCTCTCTCTCAAAGTGGACAGAAAAATGAGAGTTGGAAAACACCTAGACCAAAAAGATGAATTTTAAAATATGGCACCATTTTAAAGTTGTATTGAAGGGATATTCTCAACTCAGTTTTGGGAGCACAGCAGAAGTGGGGAATAAATATGAAATATGGGACGTGGAAATGATCAGCAAAGGGCAAAAGTCTTTCCCTCTTTTTAAAATGTTTTCTTATGGATGCTAAGCATATCATGCATGCTTCTGGGGGTGAGAAGCATTCAATTTATATGAGAATTATGCATGCTACATACTTTAGTAAACAATTTTGTTTTTTGACTGAAACAGAAAGGAAAGCCAAACTGAAGGCATTTTTCCAAGAGGAATACTCAACTGCAGAGAAAATTTTCATTAGCAAAGTTCTTCAAAAACACTTGCAAAAGGTAAAATTGAGTTTGTTCAATAAAGATGTCAATGAGAATGGAAGACAGAGGATAAAGAAATGCCAAGTTTGTTAAGCATGTGTTTTACTTCCTAATTTACAGTGGAGGAAGAGAATGAGCCATGTACAGATTGATCACCATTTCCCAGAATGAGGGGGAGGAATTGCTGTGTAAATAACAACTGACACTGTTGAAAAGGTGGGCTATTTCTTACAACAGAAAAAGGAGATCCAGACAACATACTCTTCACAGAAGACACTGAAAAAAAAGATGCTAGAAATTACATACACATTGGACAGTATCCAGGTTTCAGGGCCAAAGTTTCACTTACTTTAAGAAAGCTTTTTGCTCAAGGATTCACTTTAGGTTCTTTCCAGGTAACTTGAAGATGCAAGAAAGATGTAGAGGTGCTTAGAAAAGATTTTAAAAAAAGACACCCAACAAGTCTGGTTCTATCCCTGTTTAATCAAACCTGTTTAAAGCTTTTAATTTCTATTGTGACAAGCCAGATGAAATTTGAGACAGTATCACAAGGTCCACAGACCATCACATGGATTCAACCAGGTTTGTCCAAGCCTTGGGAATTATTTTACTAGTTTATTTCAATACCTTCCCACAGAATTTAAACAGAGAAAAAAAATCTTCCTTTCAGCCTGGGTTCAGAGCCTTGTAAAAAGTAAACATTCTTTCCCCCAGTCAAGGCTTACTTGGAGCTCAGAAAGGCTTTGTGCAGTCATGGCTGCAGTCTGTTTTAAAACAAGAAAGAGCTTTTTAGATAGCATGTTTCTCTTCTTTTTGCCTCGGAGGAAGGTTCTTCTCCAAGTGCTGTGGCACTCAACAGCACCTGGAAGTACCTCCCTCTTATTAGTATCCTGGGAAATTAATACATAACAGCTGGCCCAGTCTGGTTACTCTGACAATCACTAGGATAACAGCAAGCTCCTGTAGTTTTGACTACAGTCAGTGTTAACCCTCTTTCTGCCAATCCCTGGAGAGGATCTACAGAATTTGTCACAGCTTTCAGCATGCTCGTGCAAAGCCTTACGTTGAGATCAAGGTTACATTTTTAAAATTTTCTTGTAACTTAAATAGAGGAGAGATTTAAAAATTCACAGAAATACTGTCAAGGTAAGATTTTTTTTTTTTTAAATATAAAAAGTCTTCCCATACGTCTGCTACTAACAAAAGGTTAAAGTATTGAAAGCAAAATAATTTGAACCTAGTTTACTTTTCTCCTTTTGTGGTGTTTGCTCTCTGATTTTTACACAGGTACAACAAGGAAAATTGACTAGTCAGTTTCATTTTGTTTCCGTTAGTGAATACAATGCTCCTGTTTGCAAACGTGGGAGGGAGATGTTTCTATTTTAAAAAACTAATTTTCATCGGAATAAAAAAAATCAATTTTAGGTTTTGTAAAAATGTTGTTTTAAAGAAAAATTTTTGTTAATTAAAATTCCCAATAGCACTTCCTTCAGCTATATATGCAGAGGTAGGTTTTAAGACAATTAGAAGTTTGTGCTAAAAATCTTCAAAAGTTATTTTTTTTAAAATGCACCTTTAGAAATTCTGATAACTCAAATGTAACACCATTAATTTTAGGACAAAAATTTAAAGAAAATATAGAACATGTACAGGAGAAAATTCAGCAAAGATATCTTGCTTGCTTAAGGGAACTGTTCTATTCTAGATACAAACATGTAACTACTATTAATGCTGAAGGGAGTTACATAACTATATCAAAAGAGGACGAGACCATCTTGAAAAGCAGACTATATAGACACATGCATATCAGAGATCTTGTGCACAGATTATTGCCATGTTAAACCAGGGAAATTAAATGTATGTTGTATACAGTATTCACATTTTCAAGCATCTTCTGTATCTCAACTAGCCAGTCTTCAATGCTGAAGTTTAGGAGTCCCTGGAAAGGTGCTCTCAGGACAGTCACATTCCATTCGATATCCCAGCGTCAAACTGCCTAGATGTAGTACTAAAGCCGGAGATTTTTGGAATATCTCTTATGCTCCTGGAGGGATTTCAAGTTTACTATATGGTAAACTGTAAGCCTGCCTTCACTTGGCTAGGCCTTTTCCAGTAAATATTGGTTTGAACTCAAAAGAGGAATCCTGTTCACTACCCAGAATGAGCCATTAACTGCTTTCCTTTAAATATCTGACTAATACATTAAGCCTTCATTTATGTTTTTTTAATTTTAAAAGTACCTCTTCAGACAGCATCTCCTGCTCTTCTACCAGAAGATAGATCTCTTTAAGTCTTTCCTTTATTAATTCCATCTCTATTTCACTTATTTGGCTCCCACTCATGCAAACTTCTGTTTCTCCTTCCAATCCATCTGGTTGATCTTCTTCCCCTGGTATATAAACAGTCCAATCCGATGACAGAAGCTGTTTGGTGTACAAGAGGAAAATGAAATAAGTGATTAAATTTAAAAAGGCACTCTTTCTGGTATCATAGAGCGCGCTCCAGTTAATGTTACTGTAATAGAGCAGCCCTACATTTTGTGGTTTCAGTAGTGTAACAAACTACTTAAACTATGCAATAAATTCAGATTAAATGAATCTGTAAATACTTTTCTATAATCTTTATCAGTGTTGCTCCTGAATACTTTTAGCTCCTCATTTCTATCACTGTACAAAGTGAATTTTTATGCTAACTTTTACCTTCAACACCACAAAGCAAGCACTTGTGGTGGTGTCATGTCTTGATTAACCTGGTGCCCAGCACAAAGGTCTAGTGCTCTAAGCACATGAAACTGACATATGGAACACTAACTCTATAATTTAGAATATATGGGGGTACATATAAAATGGTTATTTCAGGATTTCAGCTAATTTGTTCCAACATGCATAAGCGATCAAACTTAGGTGCTCTTAAACAGCTGTCTGTACAGAGCTGGCTGATCACATGGTACTGGCTCTCATATTCCATTGAGAGAAACAGCACGGGTGAGGTGGAGGGGACAAAAGGAAGAGCAAAACAAACAGGCTGGATAAAAATCTATGATTTTAGAAAAATAGATTATTTAAATCAGATTTTTTAAAATTTACATTAAATACAGTTTTATTTTTAAAAAATAAACCTCTAAAATTAAATGTGAAATTATGAAATGTGTTAAGGTCTAAATTTACTATATTAAAATTAATTACATTAAATAAAAAAAAATATTAAGCAGTACATGATTGCTGCCACGTTTTAAAGAAAGCCAAACCACTGAATTGGTGGTAGTTCCTGGCTAAACACTTGTAATCTGATTTTGTTGAAGTGTTAAACCAGCTTTTGACAACAGTAGCATCTTCTGCAGGTGCAGAGAGAATATCTTCTCATTTTATTTTATTCAGCTAGCTCAGTTCAATGATTAGTTCATTCAAAGTAAGGAAAACAATGGGAGTTGAAAAAGCATAAAAGCTTGTTTTCCTTTTTTTAATCTATGAATAAAAGCTAGATGTGAGAGGATAGGATCTACTAGTTCTAAAATCTTGAAGGACATGGTGATCAAAAACAATCAGTTCAATTCACTAACTACAGATAATACTTCCTTTGTTTAATAAATAAATTAATTTTAAATGCAAACATATTTTGTTAAATTTTTCTCATGTATCCAGCACAATTAAGATGGTTTTATTTAACAACCCCCCCAATGCTGTTTTTGTGCATTTTTAATTGAATTTATATCTAAATAGAGCTCAACAGAAGTAAAAAAAAAAAAAAAAAAAAATCAATCTAGTAAATAAGAAATGCACCATTCACCATTTTCTAATTAAAAAATGTAAGTGTTAAGAATCTGAATAAATGTATATTAAGCTCTTTAGCTTAAATAAATGTGTATATATATAGGATATGTTCTTGATTAGCAAAAAAGATGTACCACATTTAGTACAAAGGCTGTATTTAGTTGCAAATCAATATGTTTTAATGCTTCCCAACCAGTAAGGCTCAACCTTTCTTTAAGAAAATAACTAAAGTATAAATGCAATGCAAAACAAAACTAAAATCAATTATATAAATTGCTTTAATTTAAATGAATCCATCCCAAAAAGGAGAGAATGTGAATAACTCTTTCTGAAAAGTACAAAGCATTTATCATTCCAAAGACAGAAACATAAATACGTACTTCCATACACCTGCTGTTACGTTTCATGTAAGAAATTGCTGTGGTTGCCTCAGGGTCTTTTTTTGTTAAATAAAACCATCTTAATTGGTTTTGGAATGGAAAAAAGACGGGGAGGTGGTCCATATGATGGAGAATGGGAGAGGAAGAGATCCCTGAAATAATCTGTCCATCATGGTGTTGTTCACAATACAAGAGGCTGAACTCCCTTGGTGTGATGGTCATTATACAGTGCCCTTTAACCCCACTCATTCCCTTCTCCCCCCCCCCCCATTTTTTGTTTGTTTGAAACACAAAAATCAGTCTTGTGGTAGAGATTGGTGATAATGTGTATAAAGGAAGCATCTATGATAACTACACTGTATTGTGTAATTAAACAGCTCAGAACCAATTCTCAGTCTGTAGCCTCAGCCCAAAGACAGGACAGACAGGGGCTGTATCTCTTGGACATTTACGGATACCGCGTACCAAGTGTCAGAAGTTATCAGCTTGCTGTGTGACAGTTTTTTGGAATTCACACATAGCCCTTACAGGGAAGAATGAAAGAAAAGTTATTTGTTCTCTCTAGAGCCTCTGCAAGAGCTTGTTTAATGGGCTTTGTCACAGCTGAGGGCAACTGCACCTGTAGTTCCCTGTGTGATCCAGCAACAGCACCCACATTTCAGGCTTACAGTTCCAGCCATTGCCTTTCTTGGGCGGAGACAGACTTCTCACCCTGGTCAGAATGGAATATTTCTAGGCTGCACAGTTTCCTGTCTTCACTGTGTTATTCCCAGCAGAGACAGGCTGTCCAAGCACAATTGTTTGCTTTCTCTTCAGAGACTGATAAGAGCGATTGTCAACGGTTGTATGCTACCTCACAGCTCTTTTTATGCAAGCCTTCTTTATTCTTAAGGTAAAAGTAGTACCAAGAAAATGTATTAAATACAATAAAAGAGCTACATGCATGCTAATAAGCTCACCAGAGATCACCCCAACTGCACCATGGGCTCCAGGAGCAGTCCTTCAACACTTTACCAAAGTGTTGGATACAAGTTCATCACAGCCTCAGCTCAGAACTAGCACAGTGTCTTACGTGGCCTCAGTAGGCCCAGTCTTTCCAGCCTTACCCTAAGAAGTGGGGCCCTCCGTGGACAGGGATCTTGTCCATTTGCTGGATCAGGAAGAAGAACCTGAGCCAATTTAAAACCAGGCTATTTATCAAAAAAATCCTCTTTGCCTGGTGGTCCCTGGAGAATCCAGTTTGAACTAGTATATTCCAACCTATCCAAGGGGTAGCATCAAAAGTCTGATAAGGGAGGAGTTTCATTAGCATTCCCCTTCTGCCAGAGCAGGTGCATATAATTCCACAACAGCACGTACACAATTGAATTTTTAGTACAGTGGACCCCAAAGATAGTAAGCCTAATTCAGTAAGGTGTAGCTTAATTCTATAAAGTTCATTCAGGATATTGCAGAAAATTTGTCAGTCGGTCACAGGCTCAAAAGCCTATTTTAATAAAACCACTCTATTCGGTCAATTAGTAACAGAAAACAAGCAATATTAACAGTGACTTAAGCCCAGAAAACCCTACATTTCCTCCGATCAGGCAGCATGATCAATTTCAGTTCTTTTCTGCAGACCAATTCCTCAAATGAATATTCCCTTAAAACCACCTTCCCAACTGCTGCTTAAATCTGTTGGCAAATAGGCAGCGTGGCACAGACAGCCTTTCGTTTTATCCCCTCATCCCACCACATTGTGCAACAGACAGATATAAAAGTAAATACAGGTCTATATGACCTCTTAAACACCTGAAAAGCAGCTGTAGTATTTAATATTGGAACAAGTAATAAGTTGGATAGACATGCCAACTCCCCTAGGCTCTCTAGATATAAACAGGTAAGACAAGAGCATGTGCAGAAGAATGAGATACTCTGGGATGCGGAGATGGTATTTGCGTAGAAGACAGAGTCAAGAGGGATATCTGCGCTGCATGTGAATAGTGTGGTCCTGACCCAACATCAGGAAGAGGATTAGATAAATAACTACTTCTAGACTAGGTACAAGATAGACGGATGGGGCAGACTCAGGTCTGTTGCTTACAGTAGTAGATAGAGGATTGCATTCAGAGGGCAAGTCAGGAAGATGCTGTCTCTTCAGTATAGAGGGGAGGGAGAGGTAAGTCTCTGAACTGTATATGAATATGAAGAGACACGCATGTTAGTGTAACTACCTCATAGAGGGAGGGTAAACTGGAGAAAGGAGCATGGATGGTTGCATCGGAGGAACAAATGGCTGAGCAGCCCAGGGACTGGGGAAGCTCAAAGGTGGCATAGTCACCTCTGCCACACCAACCAGGTCTTGTGCCAAACAGAGCTTGGATGAACTGTAGGATCAGGGTCAAAACATCTGGTAGAAAAGGGCTTTTTCTGAGAATTGGCTGGTTCCCACTCAGCCTCACAAATATTTGATTTACAGTGGTGAGTTACCATTGACCCAGAACCTCCAAACACTAGAGCGTAGTGCTTCCTACGATGAATAGTCCCATTGACGTAAGGTATCTGACTTTTTTGGTCACATACAATGAAACTGGACATTTAAATAAACAGACTAGAAAAATATAAACCTCCAGTGAAATTCCACAGACTTTTAGAAGTCCTTGCAAATTTCTAATGTACTGGATTATACCTACAATTCATAATAAAAAACTACAGATCAGAATTATTTCTTTTACCTTTTCTATCCGTGTACTAGCTGTCATAACTTCTGGAACATTCTGGAGTTCCTTTAATAAATTCTGAATCTTCTTTCCAAACTCTTCCAACCATAAAGAAGAAACTTTCATTTCTGAAGAATGCATTAACTCATTGCGGCACTTAATCACCTAAACAGGAGAATGAAGAAAAACAGCACTGCCACATTATGGTCATAGCCATCCTAGCACACAATTTACAGTATCTTACAGAATATATATTAATTAAAAATAATGGAAATGGTCTGGTTGATTTTACCTCTCTGACTTTCTTCTGGTCAATTCCACTGAAGTGATCACACAAGTTGAAAAGGTTTAGAAGAGCAGCTGCATCACACTTGTCCGGTCCAGAAATATCCATCTGCCCACGAGGCATATAAGCCTACGTAACAGAAGTGCATGATACCAATGTCATTTTTGGTTTCAGGAAGTACACAAATATGTGATTTCCTTATCTGCCTATAAGCGCTGTTAATGTTTCAAAATGATATTGCCTAAAGTAAATGCAATAAACTAGAACACAATCTCTACAACTCCACTTGCTACATTTGCCAATTAACAATGTGTTCAAGCAAATGGTTATTTCCTTCACAACCCTTAAATCTTTCCCTACTTGATGCTTTGATTCTGCAATGAAGTCACAATGTTAAACTAACACTATAACGTATTGTATAGTTATAAGAAAAGGAGGACTTGTGGCACCTTAGAGACTAACCAATTTATTTGAGCATAAGCTTTCGCGAGTTCCACTGAATGCATCCGATAAAGTGAGCTGTAGCTCGCGAAAGCTTATGCTCAAATAAATTGGTTAGTCTCTAAGGTGCCACAAGTCCTTCTTTTCTTTTTGCGAATACAGACTAACACGGCTGCTACTCTGAAACCTGTATAGTTATACACACTCATGGTTTTCCTACATCATTAGGGAGTTGCACAATTTAAAGCTTGTGTTGGCTCAGCTCTTCCCTCCATGAGCTTCTTTTGTGCAACCCTCCTATCCCCCTCTATTTCAGGGACACCCCAAACCTCCAACTCTCTCCTTCATGCCAGGGCTCTGTGTTCCCTCCCACCATCTATACCTCCCAATTCCACACCCCATGTCAGGTGCTGTGCCCCCCTTCAGGGGCATCGGAACAGGGCGGGCCAAGACCCTCCAACTTTTGAAAGTCTTCCACTTTTCAAAACGGGTCTGGACCCCTGCCGCTCTTCTGCCCCCCGGCCAGGTTGAAAGCTGTAGCCCGGCCTTGGGAGCCCAGGAAGCTGTGGGGACCCACCCCTCCACCTGTCCAGGGTGGGCGGGCTCGAAAGCAGCCCCAAACCTGTGTCCCCTGCAAGGGCAGATGGAGGGTCCAGGTGGGGGAGGAGGGGTGGAGAGGCGGAAAAACACACGCCAGGGACTGCTCTCGGGTCCCCTCACCCAGGGCAGATGGAGGGGCCCAGTCTTCCCAATTCAGCTCCAGCTTGGCCAGGGGCCACAGAGGGCGCAGAGCTTCATGGCCCCACCACTTTTAGGAAGAATCCACTGCCCCTGCCCCCTGTTCCCCATGGAGTAGGAGACAAATCATTCAGGATGTCAACATCTTAAACTGCATTGAGAGGCTGGGCAGAACTGAGACAGGGGAGTATTGTTACAATGGAAGGAGTTAATGGCTGCCATCAACCAGTTCTTTGATCCATGGTTCTCAATCAGGGGTAGGTGTACTCCTGGGGGTATGCAGAGATCTTCCAGGGGGTACATACACTGATCTAGATATCTGCCTAGTTTTACAACAGGTTACATAGAAAGCACTAGCGAAGTCTGTACAAACTAAAATTTCATACAATGACTTGTTTATACTGCTCTATATACTGTATTATATGGTAACATGATGTGTGGATACGTAATGTATTAGACATGCATTTTATGTCATTTACAGATGTGTACAAGAACGTTAATGGAGGTTGAAGTTGTAGTTTTTAAGTGAGGTGAAAGTTGGGATATGCAAGACAAATCAGACTCCTGAAAGAGGTACAGTAGTCTGGAAAGGTTGAGAACCACAGCAATAGACCATAACGGATCTGGTTAAAGTTGCTAGGTCTGCTAACCAGATGCCAGAGCACCATGTGTCCATCATTTCACCCTTTTGTTTTTGTGATTTTCACCAAAATTGATATTCTCCCCACCAATGCCTAGAACATTCTTTGAAATTTTGCAATTGATCCGATGCGGCACTGAAAAGTTATCACCTTACAGACAAACAGATGTATCCCATCAAATTGAGCATAGAGCAATGCAAGTTCAGCCATTCAGGTGGGAGGTTAGTGAGTGAAAGGAAAAAGATATTTTAAATACACATACCTGCAACAGCAGACACAACCAGGAAGTTTTTTTGGGGGGGAAATATTACTTTTCACTTCAGATGCTTTGTTGTTCACATGTTCCAGCATGACATACCACCCCTGTTCCCTGAACACGACCCAGCTACACTATATATGCTTCTAAACAAGGTTTGAAATCTAGAAGCCTCTGTTCATTGGCTGAGCCCTATGGGGGCGGGGCTATCAAGAAGGTCAGGGCTTTATAAAGCAGTGAGCAAGCAAACAGAGAGCTTTGCAAACATGGACAGGAGTTTCGAGAGAGAGTTGGGAAGGGGGCAAGGTACACTTGCCATTCGAGTTGCATCCGAGAGTGCTGAAGGAATTGGCGGCTGTGATTGCAGAGCCATTGGCCATTATCTTTGAAAACTCGTGGCGAACGGGGGAAGTCCCGGATGACTGGAAAAAGGCTAACGTAGTGCCAATCTTTAAAAAAGGGAAGAAGGAGGATCCTGGGAACTACAGGCCAGTCAGCCTCACCTCAGTCCCTGGAAAAATCATGGAGCAGGTCCTCAAAGAATCAATCCTGAAGCACTTGCATGAGAGGAAAGTGATCAGGAACAGCCAGCATGGATTCACCAAGGGAAGGTCATGCCTGACTAATCTAATCGCCTTTTATGATGAGATTACTGGTTCTGTGGATGAAGGGAAAGCAGTGGATGTATTGTATCTTGACTTTAGCAAAGCTTTTGACACGGTCTCCCACAGTATTCTTGTCAGCAAGTTAAGGAAGTATGGGCTGGAAGAATGCACTATAAGGTGGGTAGAAAGCTGGCTAGATTGTCGGGCTCAACGGGTAGTTATCAATGGCTCCATGTCTAGTTGGCAGCCGGTATCAAGTGGAGTGCCCCAAGGATCGGTCCTGGGGCCGGTTTTGTTCAATATCTTCATAGATGATCTGGAGGATGGTGTGGATTGCACTCTCAGCAAATTTGCGGATGATACTAAACTGGGAGGAGTGGTAGATACGCTGGAGGGGAGGGATAGAATACAGAAGGACCTAGACAAATTGGAGGATTGGGCCAAAAGAAATCTGATGAGGTTCAATAAGGATAAGTGCAGGGTCCTGCACTTAGGACGGAAGAACCCAATGCACAGCTACAGACTAGGGACCGAATGGCTAGGCAGCAGTTCTGCGGAAAAGGACCTAGGGGTGACAGTGGACGAGAAGCTGGATATGAGTCAGCAGTGTGCCCTTGTTGCCAAGAAGGCCAATGGCATTTTGGGATGTATAAGTAGGGGCATAGCGAGCAGATCGAGGGACGTGATCGTTCCCCTCTATTCGACATTGGTGAGGCCTCATCTGGAGTACTGTGTCCAGTTTTGGGCCCCACACTTCAAGAAGGATGTGGATAAATTGGAGAGAGTCCAGCGAAGGGCAACAAAAATGATTAGGGGTCTGGAACACATGACTTATGAGGAGAGGCTGAGGGAGCTGGGATTGTTTAGCCTGCAGAAGAGAAGAATGAGGGGGGATTTGATAGCTGCTTTCAACTACCTGAAAGGGGGTTCCAAAGAGGATGGCTCTAGACTGTTCTCAATGGTAGCAGATGACAGAACGAGGAGTAATGGTCTCAAGTTGCAGTGGGGGAGGTTTAGATTGGATATTAGGAAAAACTTTTTCACTAAGAGGGTGGTGAAACACTGGAATGCGTTACCTAGGGAGGTGGTAGAATCTCCTTCCTTGGAGGTTTTTAAGGTCAGGCTTGACAAAGCCCTGGCTGGGATGATTTAACTGGGAATTGGTCCTGCTTCGAGCAGGGGGTTGGACTAGATGACCTTCTGGGGTCCCTTCCAACCCTTATATTCTATGATTCTATGATTCTTTAAAACCTTTAAAAACTAAACTATAATCAAAACTTCTTGATTTAAACAAAAACCCGATCTTTAACCTAGGTAGCTGTAGGAGAAAATGCAGGCAGAAGCCAGCAGCAGAGTGGGGGCTATCCTGTTTATTGCATTCAGTGTAGCATGTATGATTACCTGCCCTGTGGGCAGGTGGCATATGTGTACATTCGGTGGAAGGAGCTCCTGGCCCTCAGAGACCGTGTATTGGCTTTGGAGGCCAGGATGGTGAAACTGGAGGAGCTAAGGGAGGCAGAGAGGTATGTTGATGAGGCTTTCTGGGACACTGTAGATTTGTCCCACCTCCAGTCAGATAGTCCCTGTGCTGTTAAGGAGGATGAAAGGCCCAGAGGAGAGCAGTCAACAGGAACAGAGGGAAACTTTCCCATAGTTGGGACCCTCCTTCCAGATGATGTTGGGATATCCTCTCACACTGAGGTTACCTCTCTCTGGGGGAGGGAACTCCAGTCATTAGGAAAAGGCAGGTGTTAGTAATGGGAGATTCGATCATTAGAATAACTAAATGATAGCTGGGTTTGTGATGACCGGGAGAACCGTATGGTGACTTGCCTGCCTGGTGCGAAGGTTGCGGATCTCTCAAGGCATCTAGACAGACTTATGCGAAGTGCTGGGGAGGAGCCGGTGGTCGTGGTACATGTAGGTACCAGTGACGTAGGGAAGGGTAGGAGAGACGTCCTGGAGGCCAAATTTAGGCTGCTAGGAAAGAGACTGAAATCCAGGACCTCTATGGTGGCATTCTCAGAAATGCTTCCAGTTCCACGCGCAGGGCCAGGTAGGCAGGGAGAGCTTCAGAGTCTCAATGCGTGGATGAGACGATGGTGTAGAAAGGAGGGGTTTAGATTTATTAGGAACTGGGGAAACGTTTGGGATAGGGGAGCCTATACAGGAAGGATGGGCTCCACCTAAACCAAAGTGGATCCAGACTGCTGGCACTTCACATTAAAAAGATTGCAGAGCAGTTTTTAAACTAAGCGATGGGGGAAAGCCAATTGCTGCAGACGCGCACGTGGATCGGACAGAGACTTCTCTTAGAGGAGAGTCTATTGATAGAGATTCTCTAGGTTTTAGTCAGGAGGAGGGGATGGAAGAGGATAAAGTATGGGCGGGATCAGACAAGAAACATTCACATAAAGAATCTGACATCAGAAAAGGGCAGACAAATAAACAGTGACAAGTTTTTAAAGTGCTTGTACACAAATGCTAGAAGTCTAAATAATAAGATGGGTGAACTAGAGTGCCTCGTGTTAAAGGAGGATATTGATATAATAGGCATCACAGAAACCTGGTGGAGTGAGGACAATCAATGGGACACAATCATTCTGGAGTACAAAATATATTGGAAGGACAGAACAGATCATGCGGGTGAGGGAGTGGCACTATATGTGAAAGAAAATGTAGAATCAAATGAAATAAAAATCTTAAATGAATCCACATGTTCCATAGAATTTCTATGGATAGTAATTCCATGCTCTAATAAGAATATAACAGTAGGGATCTATTATGAACACCTGACCAGGACAGTGATAGTGACAATTAAATGCTAAGGGAGATTAGAGAGGCATCAAAATAAAAAACTCAATAATAGTGGGGGATTTCAATTATCCCCATATTGATTGGGTACATGTCACCTCAGGATGAAATGCAGAGACAAAATTTCTCAATACTTTAAATGACTGCTTCTTGGAGCAGCCGGTACAGGAACCAACAAGGGGACAGCCAACTCTCGATCTATTCCTGAGTGGAGTGTAGGATCTGGTCCAAGAAGTAACTATAACAGGACCACTTGGGAATAGTGACCATAATGTAATATTTCAGAGGAACAGCCGTGTTAGTCTGTATTCGCAAAAAGAAAAGGAGTACTTGTGGCACCTTAGAGACTAACCAATTTATTTGAGCATGAGCTTCGTGAGCTACAGCTCACTTCATCAGATGTATACCGTGGAAACTGCAGCAGACTTTATATACACACAGAGAATATGAAACAATACCTCCTCCCACCCCACTGTCCTGCTGGTAATAGCTTATCTAAAGTGATCAACAGGTGGGCCATTTCCAGCACAAATCCAGGTTTTCTCACCCTCCACCCCCCCACACAAATTCACTCTCCTGCTGGTGATAGCCCATCCAAAGTGACAACTCTTTACATAATCAAGTCGGGCTATTTCCTGCATAGATCCAGGTTTTCTCACATCCCCCCCACCCCCATACACACACAAACTCAAACTTTCAGAACTCAAATGTGAAATTGCGGAACTATTAACTACAGTTTGTAACCTCTCCTTTAAATCAGCTACTGTACCCAATGACTGGAAGATAGCTAATGTAACGCCAATATTTAAGAAGTGCTCTAGAGGTGATCCTGGCAATTACAGACTGGTAAGTCTAACGTCAGTACCGGGCAAATTAGTTGAAACAATAGTAAAGAATAAAATTGTCAGACACACAGAACAACATAAATTGTTGCGCAAAAGTCAACATGGTTTCTGTAAAGGGAGATCATGTCTTACTAATCTATTAGAGTTCTTTGAGGGGGTCAACAAACATCTAGCTCATCTATTACCAGCAGGAGAGTGAGTTTGTGTGTGTATGGGGGTGGGGGGGGATGTGAGAAAACCTGGATCTATGCAGGAAATAGCCCGACTTGATTATGTAAGGAGTTGTCACTTTGGATGGGCTATCACCAGCAGGAGAGTGAATTTGTGTGGGGGGGTGGAGGGTGAGAAAACCTGGATTTGTGCTGGAAATGGCCCACCTGTTGATCACTTTAGATAAGCTATTACCAGCAGGACAGTGGGGTGGGAGGAGGTATTGTTTCATATTCTCTGTGTGTATATAAAGTCTGCTGCAGTTTCCACGGTATACATCTGATGAAGTGAGCTGTAGCTCACGAAAGCTCATGCTCAAATAAATTGGTTAGTCTCTAAGGTGCCACAAGTACTCCTTTTCTTTTTGCATAATGTAATAACATTTAACATTCCTGTGGTGGGAAGAACACCTCAACAGCCCAACACTGGGACATTTAATTTCAGAAAGGGGAACTATGCAAAAATGAGGAGGTTAGTTAAATAGAAATTAAAAGGTAGAGTGAAATCCCTGCAAGCTGAAAGACAGACACCAAAATAGAGGCTCAACTTAAATGTATACCCCAAATTAAAAAAAAAACTAAAAAAGAGCCACTGTGGCTTAACAACCATGTAAAAGAAGCAGTGAGAGATAAAAAGGCATCTTTTAAAAGGTGGATGTCAAATCCTAGTGAGGTAAATAGAAAGGAGCATAAACACTGCCAAATTAAATGTAAAAATGTAATAAGAAAGGCCAAAAAGGAGTTTGAAGAACAGCTAGCCAAAAACTCAAAAGGTAATAACAAAATGTTTTTTAAGTTACATCACAAGCAGGAAGCCTGCTAAACAACTAGTGGGGCCCCGGATGATCGATACACAAAAGGAGCACTTAAAGACGATAAAGTCATGGAAGAGAAACTAAATGAATTCTTTGCTTCAGTCTTCAGATGTTAGGGTGATTCCCAAACCTGAGCCGTCTTTTGTAGGTGACAAATCTGAGGAATTGTCACAGACTGAAGTGCAACTAGAGGAGGTTTTGGAATTAATTGAGAAACTTAACAGTAAACAAGTCACCGCGACCAAATGGTATTCACCCAAGAGTTCTGAAAGAACTCAAATGTGAAATTGCGGAACTATTAACTACAGTTTGTAACCTCTCCTTTAAATCAGCTACTGTACCCAATGACTGGAAGATAGCTAATGTAACGCCAATATTTAAGAAGTGCTCTAGAGGTGATCCTGGCAATTACAGACTGGTAAGTCTAACGTCAGTACCGGGCAAATTAGTTGAAACAATAGTAAAGAATAAAATTGTCAGACACACAGAACAACATAAATTGTTGCGCAAAAGTCAACATGGTTTCTGTAAAGGGAGATCATGTCTTACTAATCTATTAGAGTTCTTTGAGGGGGTCAACAAACATGTGGACAAGGGGGATCCAGTGGACATAGTGTACTTATATTTCCAGAAAGCCTTTGACAGGGTCCCTCACCAAAGGCTCTTATGTAAATTAAGTTGTCATGGGATAAGAGGGAAGATCCTTTCATAGATTGAGAACTGGTTAAAAGACCGGGAACAAAGGGTAGGAATAAATGGTACATTTTCAGAATGGAGAGGGGTAACAAGTGGTGTTCCCCAAGGGTCAGTCCTACAACCAATCCTATTCAACTTATTCATAAATGATCTGGAGAAAGGGGTAAACAGTGAGGTGGCAGAGTTTGCAGACGATACTAAACTGCTCAAGAAAGTTAAGACCAAAGCAGACTGTGAAGAACTTCAGAAAGGTCTCACAAAACTAAGTGATTGGGCAACAAAATGGCAAATGAAATTTAATGTGGATAAACATAAAGTAATGCCCATTGGAAAAAAATAACCGCAACTATACATACAATATGATGGGGGCTAATTTAGCTACAACTAATCAGGAGAAAGATCTTGGAGTCGTCATGGATAGTTCTCTGAAGATGTCCATGCAGTGTGCAGCGGCAGTCAAAAAAGCAAACGGGATGTTAGGAATCATTAAAAAAGGGATAAAGAATAAGATGGAGAATATCTTATTGCCCTTATATAAATCTATGGTATGCCCACATCCTGAATACTGCGTACAGATGTGGTCCCCTCATCTCAAAAAGATATACTGGCATTAGAAAAGGTTCAGAAAAGGGCAACTAAAATAATTAGGGGTTTGGAACGGGTCCCATATGAGGAGAGATTAAAGAGGCTAGAACTTTTCAGCTTGGAAAAGAGGAGACTATGAGGGGATATGATAGAGATATATAAAATCATGAGTGGTGTGGAGAAAGTGGATAAGGAAAAGTTATTTATATGTTCCCATAATATAAGAACTAGGGGCCACCAAATGAAATTAATGGGCAGCAGGTTTAAAATAAATAAAAGGAAGTTCTTCTTCACTCAGCGCGCAGTCATCCTGTGGAACTCCTTGCCTGAGGAGATTGTGAAGGCTAGGACTATAACAGGGTTTAAAAGAGAACTGGATAAATTCATGGAGGTTAAGTCCATTAATGGCTATTAACTAGGATGGGTAAGGAATGGTGTCCTTAGCCTGTTTGTCAGAGGGTGGAGATGGATGGCAGGACAGAGATCACTAGATCATTACCTGTTAGGTTCACTCCCTCTGGGGCACCTGGCATTGGCCACTGTTGGTAGACAGGATACTGGGCTGGATGGACCTTTGGTCTGACCCAGTATGGCCCTTCTTATATTCTAGAATGAAGCACCGGGATTATATGGGGACTTTATCCTGGGTTAACCGCCTACCTGCACAGACCACCACCACTAACACATTGGTTCAGACAGATGAAAGTAGCCTATTTAGTATAAAAGTGTGTGTGTGTTATTTTGCTACTCTTTAGGTGTTTCCTTTTTTTAATTAAATAGTTTAAATTGAATTTCATCTTTTGATGCACAAGCTTCACTTTTAAAGGATTTCTTGAAAGAGATCAGTGAGACTACAAGTATTTATTCCACTGAGAATTTAGATACATTACTGAGTACTTTACAGACCATGTTTCAGTTAGTGGTTATTTTAGAGGATGATCAGCAAATCACGAAGCAGAGCAGAAATGCCAACAATTTTGTATGGTACCATTGAACTTTACAACACTGTAAATATTACCAAACACTATTTTCCTAATACATTTTCATTGTATTTCTTAGTTCAGCCCAAAGAAATATTGCTATACGCTGGCTTGGATTTAAGCCTAGTCAATGTGTTTTCAAATCCAGGATGAAATAAAATGAAATCAAGTTGGGTAAGCCCAAAAGGGTAGTGATTTGGATGCTCAGATAATGAAAAGCACCAGGTTAGCCCCTGAAACCTTTCCTTTTGTCTGCTATTAGCAAGAAAAAAGGACAATACATGTGCAACAGTTTGCTCTCCATGGATGAAATCCTGCCCCCACTGAAGACAATGGGAGTTTTGCCATTGTCTTCTACAGGGCCAGGATTGCACCATAGGTCTAAATCCTGCCCTGACAGACTCCTATGCAACCAAACTGAATTCATTATCGAACCACACACGGATGAAAGTGAGAACAGGAGCTGACCCCAAGTGTGATTCTAATTTAATTTATGTTACCTTTGCAAGTTCCCATGAGTTAGAAGGCCAAAGCCAAGGTTTGCAGTTTCCCCAGTGAACTTCTCCATTCCTGTTGGTGTGATGATTCAAAATCTCCTTTTTCCACTCGGTGCACAGTGAACAGATAGGCTGAAACTAAAAAAAAAAAAAAATAGGAAAGAATCCAAAGTAATTTACCTTAGTACTTGCACCCTTTAAATTACACTTTAAAAAGTGCACTGGGTTATTATTACATTGCAGCAGAGGCTAGAAAAAGGATTCAAAGAACGTTCAGTCAGAAATTTGATCAAATGCACAAATTCTCATATGCAGTATGCTGAACTGTTACACAGAGATGTAATTGAAAATTTAGGTATAATACAGTAGGTTAGGGCAGTAGCCTCTCACCTCTAGAGACCTGGGTTCAATGAGAGTCAGGACTTAACTAGAAACGAGTCTGAAGCTTCTCCTATCAGGGATTGAGGCCAATGCTAACCAGAGGTCTCAAGTGAGGCTTGCATGACAAACCCCGTGGTGAAAGAGAAGAATGCTTTAGCAGCAGAATTTGAAGTAATGCATTTTTTTCTTTACAGTTTACATTAGGGTTAATGAAAGCCATATCTGAACATGGTTGAATCCTTAGGGAATTTTCAACTGGGAAGCATGTTCTAACAGCTAAAGCGTATAACAGTTTATTCAGATTTAACTTTTCTGATTGTTCTTTCTCCATCTGCACTTGGGTGACCAGATAGCAAGTGTGAAAAATTGGGATGGGGGTGAGGGGTAATAGGAGCCTATATGAGAAAAAGCCCCAAATATCAGGACTGCCCCTATAAAATCGGGACATGTGCACGCACATACAAACACTCCTCCACCTTTTTCATTAACTTTGTGGAGCAGATGGATTAAATGAGTATGTGAATTAGACTGTAAACTCCCCAGGGCAGAAACTTTGTTTTATTTGTAGGTCTAATACAGCACCCAGCACTCTTATAGGGCTGCACAAATAAATAATTGTGGGTGGCACTGAAGAACACTAAAGCGAATGTTTGTTATCTTGAATTATGTTACAGGATTTGTTTGTTTTTTAAATGTACTCTATCAGAGAGGATCAGTGAACTGCCAGCTCTCAATACACATTTTTTGGTATGTAATAATAGTGATGATTAATACTGGATATTATGGAGTCACAGGTCATGCTTCCACAGTTGAAGTTGAATTTAGTTTTGAACTTAACACAGAAATTCAATCTCTTTGTTACGTATGAAAAACACAGTATATCCTCCACAAGACTATGGAATTTACTCTGAGCACAGAATGAGTTTTCTGAGAATGTACAAGTAAACTCATTCATTAGTTTCTATTGATTGAAATAGGTCCTTTATAATATTCATCCTGTCTAAGTCCTTTTTGGCCCTATGAGCTTAATAATGGAGTATGCAGACATCATCATAACAACAATAGGATCATGATTAAGGCACTTGAGAATGTAGTCCCAGATTAGACTAAACAGATTTTTAAAATACATTTAATTTATTTAATTTCTTCATGGTGTTACTATAGTGCAGTCAAGCTAGTTTGGGTGCCCTTACTGCATTTCCATACCTTAATTTGTTTGGACTTCTTTTATATCTAAGCATAACTCTGAATTTCCTGGGTTGATAATGCTTCTTTGTAGATAATTACAATATCCACAAGCGATATCTAACACAATAAATTAACATGAGTGAAAAGGAGCTGAGGAATCTCATTATGGTGCTTAGGGGAAGCTTTCTTCACAACATTAAACTACCCTACATAGATTGGCACAAGCATCAGATTTTCTTCACAAGAGTACGAAAGAAGGCATGTGAGAAGCTTCCACTATGCCCAACCCTAGCCAGTCCTATTAAACCTTCACTTTCGTGTGCATTAACACTTACTACAGTAGGACCTCAGAGTAATGAAACCTCGGGAATGGAGGTGGTTTGTAACTCTGACGTGTTCCGTAACTCTGAACAAAACGTTACGGTTGTTCTTTCAAAAGTTTACAACTGAACGTTGACTTAATACAGCTTTGAAACTTTACTATGCAGAAGGAAAATGCTCCTCTCTCAATTTTTTTTAGTAGTTTACATTTAACAGTACTGTATTTACTTTGGGGGGGGGGAGGGGGGGAAGGGGGTCATCTCTGCTGCTGCCTGATTGCATACTTCCACTTCCAAATGAGGTGTGTAGTTGATTGGTCAGTTCATAACTCTGATGTTCGTAACTCTGAAGTTCTACTGTATTAACCCTTCTTTCTCCTTCCTAGAAACTGAAAACAAAGTTTTATCACAACTAGGGCTGTCAAGCGATTAAAAAAATTAATTGTGATTAATCACACTGTTAAACATTTATTTAAATATTTTTGGATGTTTTCTCCATTTTCAAATATATTGGTTTGAATTATAACACAGAATACAAAGCGTACAGTGCTCACTTTTTATTTATTTTTATTACAAATATTTGCACTGTAAAAATAAAATATTTTTCAATTCATCTAATACAAGTACTATAGTGAAAACGCTTTATCATGAAAGTTGAACTTACAAATATAGAATTATGTATAAAAATAACTGCATTCAAAAATAAAACAATGTAAAACTTTAGCATCTACAGGTCCACTCAGTCCTACTTCTTGTTTAGCCAATCGCTCAGACAAACAAGTTTGTTTACATTTGCAGGAGAGAATGCTGCTCAATAACACTTCTTGTTTACAATATCACCTGAAAGCAAGAACGGGTGTTTGCATGGCACTTTTGTAGCCGGCGTCACAAGATATTTACATGCCAGATATGTTAAATATTCATATGCCCCTTCATGATTCAACCACCATTCCAGAGGACATGCGTCCATGCTGATGATGGGATACTGTTCCTGACAGCTTGTATTCCACCTGTGTGTGGGATGTTTGTGTAGAGAGCCTCTACATCCATGGTGGCTAGGATGTGACAGTACCGATGCCCGAGATGATGGGGCGTCCATGGTTTCCAGATTTGTGGATCTTGGGTAGTAGATAGCATTCTATGTATAGGTCCAGACTGTCATTTGAGGATCGAAATGACAGTCTGGACCTATACATAGAATGCTTCCGCCAACGTGCACAGGCAGAAATTGTGGAAAAACAACATCGCTTGCCTCATAACCTAAGTCGTGCAGAACGCAATGCCATCCACAGCCTCAGAAACAACCCTGACATTATAATCAAAGAGGCTGATAAAGGAGGTGCTGTGTCATCATGAACAGGTCTGACTACCAAAAGAAGGCTGCCAGACAACTCTCCAGTACCAAATTCTACAGGCCACTTTCCTCAGATCCCACTGAGGAATACCCTAAGAAACTGCACCATCTACTCAGGACACTCCCTACACTAACACCGGAACAAATCAACATACCCTTAGAGCCCTGACCGGGGTTATTCTATCTACTACCAAAGATCCACAAACCTGCAAACCCTGGATGCCCCATCATCTCGAGCATTGGTACTCTCACTGAAGGACTGTCCAGATATTTGGACTCTCTACTCAGACCCTATGCCACAAGCACTCCCAGCTATCTCCATGACACCACTGATTTCCTGAGAAAACTACAATGCATTGGTGATCTTCCAGAAAACACCATCCTAGCCACCATGGATGTAGAGGCTCTCTACACAAACATCCCACACACAGATAGAATACAAGCTGTCAGGAACAGTATCCCTGATGCCACAGCACAACTGGTTGCTCAGCTCTGTAACTTTATCCTCATGCACAATTATTTCAAATTTGGTGCCCATATATACCTCCAGACAGAGGGACCGCTATGGGCACCCGCATGGCCCCACTATATGGCAACATTTTTATGGCTGACCTGGAACAACGCTTCCTCAGCTCTCGTCCGCTCACGCCCCTTCTCTACCTACGTTACGTTGATGACATCATCATCTGGACAACATTGGAAGGAAATCCTAGAAGAATTACACCACGATTTCAACAGCTTCCACCACACCATCAACCTCAGCCTGGACCAATCTACACAGGAGGTCCACTTCCTAGACACCACGGTGCAAATAAGTGATGGTCACTTTAACACCAGCTGATGCCGAAAACCCACTGACCGCTATGCCTACCTTCATGCCTCCAGCTTCCACCCCGGACACACCACATGATCCATTGTCTACAGCAAAGCGCTGAGGTACAACCGCATTTGCTCCAACCCTTCGGACAGAGACCAACACCTACAAAATCTTCACCAAGCATTCTCAAAACTACGATACCCACATGAGGAAACAAGGAAACAGATCAACAGAGCCAGACGTGTACCCAGAAGCCTCCAGCTGCAAGACAAGCCCAAGAAAGAAACCAACAGAACTCCCTTGGCCATCACATACAGTCCTCAGCTAAAACCTCTCCAACGCATCATCACTGATCTACAACCCATCCTAGACAACAATTCCTCACTTTCACAGGCCTTGGGAGGCAGGCCAGTCCTCACCCACAGACAGCCCGCCAACCTGAAGCATTATTCTCACCCGCAACTACACACCGCACCATATTAACTCTAACTCAGGAACCAATCCATGCAACAAACCTTGATGCCAACTCTGCCCACATATCTACACCAGCGACACTATCACAGGACCTAACCAGATCAGCCGCACCATCACCAGTTCATTCACCTGCACATCCACCAATGTAATATATGCCATCATGTGCCAGCAATGCCCCTCTGCTATGTACATCGGCCAAACAGGACAGTCCCTACGTAAAAGGATAAATGGACACAAATCAGATATTAGGAATGGCAATATACAAACACCTGTAGGAGAACACTTCAATCTCGCTGGACACACAATAGCAGATTTAAAGGTAGCCATCCCGCAGCAAAAAACTTCAGGACCAGACTTCAAAGAGAAACTGCTGAGCTTCAGTTCATTTGCAAATTCGACACCATCAGCTCTGGATTAAACAACGACTGTGAATGGCTAGCCAACTACAAAAGCAGTTTCTCCTCCCTTGGCATTCACATCTCAACTGCTAGAAGAGGGCCTCATCCTCCCTGATTGAACTAACCTCATTATCCCTAACCTGATTCTTGCTTGCATATTTATACCTGCCTCTGGAAATTTCCACTATATGCATCCAACGAAGTGAGTATTCACCCATGAAAGCTCATGCTCCAATACATCTGTTAGTCTATAAGGTGCCACAGGACTCTTTGCCAATATATTTGAAAATGTAGAAAAACATCCAGAAATATTAAATACATTTCAATTGATATTCTATTGTTTAACAGTGAGATTAAAACTGATTAATCGCAATAAATTTTTTAATAGATTTTTTTTGAGTTAATTGCAAATTAACTGTAATTAATCAACAGCCCTAATCACAGCTGATCTTCAAACAACAACAAAAAGATATCTAGCTGAGACCAAATACAAGGGACAACAGGGCTTTAGCAGTTAAGTGCCTTGTAGATGAGAACACAGTAAGCTGCAGAAGGAGCAGGGTAGAGATCCAGTCAGTCCCATAGCACCCTCTGCTGAGCCAATATTGGACTCATAAACTGAATGGCTGGAAATAATGGACCATAAAACTGTGAATTAGAAAGCAAAGAAATTCTCCATCTCCTAATTTCTTGTCTAACATCCCACCTAGAACTTCTTTTCTGGGCTAACAATCAGGAACCCCAATGTGAAGGAAGGAGGGATGGCCCAATCCTGCAGCCTTCCTGGGACTGTCGTCAGTGATTAAGTAAATGGAGTTGTGCAGGTAGAACTGAGAGGTCTCATGTGGGTCTAGCTGCAGTTAGGGCTGGAAGAGAGAAGCAGCCCCCCCAACACTTTAAGAACTAAGGTACTCAAAATAAAGGACTGAAACAGACAAGGAGAAAAGGATAATGGTCTAACACAGGGGTCGGTAACCTATGGCACGCGTGCCAAACACAGCATGCGAGCCAATTTTTAATGACACGCTGCTGTCTGCCGGACCCACTAAAAATCCGGCCCGGCCCGGCCCGGCCCGCTCTTTTCCACCCACCGCTCTCTCCTTGCAGGGTAGCAAGCTTCCCCCTTCCCCCGCCTCTTCCCCCAGTGTGCAAGGTTCTTGCCCCTCCTTCTCTCCGTCCCTGTGGCCGATTAGCTGACGGCCCTTGCCACAGGGGGGAGAGGGAAAAGTGGAACCACAGCACGCTCTCTGCTCCAGAGACCTCGGGGAAGAGGGTGGAATCAGGGCACTCCAACCCCCAGCCTGCTCCTTCACCCCCAGCCCTGTTCACAGCACACTCTGACCCTCATCTCAGTGCAGAGAAAGGAAAAGAATGGCTAGAACCAGGTAGGTACCTACTCTATGTGGACAGGGCTGGGACTCCAGACCAGCAGCAGGCTGAGCCACTCAGCCCACTGCCAGTCTGGGGTCCTGGCCACCGGCCCTGCTCAGCCCGCTGCCAATCTGGGGTTCTAGCTGCCAGATTCTTCCCAGCCAGGGTCCTGGCCGCAGGCCCTGCTCAGCCCGCTGCCGGCCTAGGTGAACGGAACCCCAGGCCATCAATGGGCTGAGCGGGCTGGTGGCGTAGGATCAGCATTTTAATTTAATTTCAAATGAAGCTTCTTAAACATTTTGAAAACCTAGTTTACATACGATAATAGTTTAGTTATATAATATATAGACTTATAGAGAGAGACCTTCTAAAACACATTAAAATGTATTATTGACACGCAAAACCTTAAATTCGAGTGAATAAATGAAGACTAGGCACACTACTTCTGAAAGGTTGCCGACTCCTGGTTTAACACAATATAACGCTCACAACTCTGTACTCTGCTCCTAAACTCCAAGACCTCCTCCTCAAATCAGCCCAGTTCCTATATTTGTTGGTGCTTATTTAAGCAGCAGTGCCACGCACAACACTGCTGATGCCAAGTGTTCAAAATTCATGAATCAGCCCTCTAAAAATCATTAGAATTTTAAAAAGCAATATGCTTGGAGGGAGGCGGGGGGTTAGTTGCCCGCTGGTTCTCCAGCCTTCAGGCTGCTCTCACATCATGTTTTCAAGGTTCTCTCTGCCACCAAGAGAGGTAAAAAACTTACTTCAAATGACAGTCCAGAATCTCTCATCATCACCCCACTGCAGAAACTGGAGCTTTAAGAAAACTCTCAGTTATCACCAGAGGCACAATGACATCACCAGGGCGGGCCATGCTCCCTTCCCTCGGGGTAGCGCAAGGTTGGGGCTCTCCACGCGGCACAGGCGTGCCGACCTTGCAGGGGCGTCCCGGAGACTCCGGGAGTTAAAGATGAATTAAAGACTGAGTGTCATGGGAGGAAGCCTCCAGGAACACCTGCAACCCTCGCACCGGGCTGCGGGAGGCCGGCTACACCTTGGGGGAGTAAAAGGCACAGGCTGAGCCTAGCGCCCCTGAGCGGCGGGGAGGGTCTGAGGGGCTGTAAGGGACCCGCTTCCCCCGCGCTGGACCCCCAGCACGGGGGCGCTGCCTGCAGCCCAGCCAGAGCAAATCCCCGCCCACCGAGCGCGCGGGCTCCGGCTCTCACCTGCCGGCCGCGGGGGAGGCAGCGGCTGCGGCAGAGGCGGCCCGGGGGCGCCAGGCGGGCGAGCAGCTGGCGGTGGAAGGCGCGGAGCTGCTCCCCGGCGAAGCGCTGCAGGGCGTCCCGCAGCAGCACCAGGCAGTGCCCGGCCTTCACCCAGTTCTTGTACTCGGCGCAGTTCAGCCGCGCGGCCAGCTCCGCCAGCTCCATGGCCCGCCCCGGCCCGGCCCCGTATCGCCTTCCGGGGCTTTAAGAGAAACTCCTCTTGCAATTCGCCTACTGAAATGACAAGCTAACCTTCAGGGGCTGTACTTGCATGAGTCATGATTACGCCTGTCATGGGCCCTTCTTTTTCAGATCCGAATGCAAATCCCATCTTCCTCAATTGATATAATCTACCCCTCATTGCTAAGTGAGGAGAAGGAATACCACCTCAATGAGCCACTTATTTACTGCTCTGATAGCATAGCAAAGGATGGCAGTTTAGATTATGATGCATGTATGTTAAAGGTTGATATAATGAGAGATTGCTACTGTGAAGGAAAGACTAAGACAATAAAGAATACAGCCCAAGCATAAGGTGCCATATTCCCAAAACATTGCAATGTCACAAACCTATGACAAAAAACCCTTAGCAGAACCCTGAACACTTAAGGTCACCAGAGCCAGAAGTTAGGAAAAGCATAAGTAAAACAGTACCTCTTACAGCTCAGGCTTAGACCTTTATGGAGGAAGAGAACCCTTTACCTTGGTGTAAGTCCAGCCAAATTAATTTTGTCCAAGGGGAGAAGTCTGCTAGTGTAGTATACCTCAAAAGGTTCCATGCACAGAGCCCTGTGATGATCAATTAAAAAGTATCTTACTGAAATGTAATTGCAGGGGAATTCCTGGTAGCCACTCAGATTGCTGAATGGCTGACCATTCACTAATATATTACAAAAACCCTTCACCCTGTTAGAAGCCACGTTTATCCCTCAGCATGCAGTGTAGTTAAACATTTTCTGCTTTGACAGAGGAGCTTATTTCTGACAGACTTATTACATATGCTAGAGACTAAAAATTCTCTAAGAGATCATTCTCGTGCACATTTTTATCAAAATACATATATCCTACCATCCGTCAGGTGGAATCTACACCACCCACATAGTATGAGGGAAATAAAAGTAAACAGCATTTAGAAGCATCACTCATCTGCTTTTGAAAAAAAATATCCACACTTTGCATAATGGTCTTCCTTAGTATTTGTGCAACAGCAGAAGGATCTCAATGTAGTTTCCACTATAAGACACTGTTTTCAGTTAGTTAAAAGTTTAGCAACATAAGTATTTAGACTGAAATTTTCCCTGCCAGGTGTCTGCCTCAGTTTTTTAAAAATAAAAAATTTCAGCCAAACACTTCAGCAATGCCAAAAAAAGGAGGGTTGGTAATGATTTGTTGTCCATTTAAAAAAAATTCTGGCAACCTTTTCTTTGAAAACTCTAGTGTTCCCGAGCTTTGGAGCAGGAACTTGAAATTTGGTAGGGGATGAACCTTTGAGTCAGGGATGTGCCTTTTATCATCCTTGTGAAAACACACCCAAATTTGACCACATTATAAGACTTGGGGGGAGAAGGGGTGCAGTAACTGAGGTTCTTCAAGATGGTTGTCCCCATGGGTGCTTCACCCCCACACTTGTAATCAGAGATTTTTAATAACAATGCTTGGTTGGGTCACACATGTGCTGTCCCAATCTTGTGCCATCTGACACGGTTACATAACCCTATGTGACCAACTCTCCCTCAGTTTCTTCTCTATTACATTCTATGGTGCAAAAAAACTCCAAAGGAGAGGGGAAGGAGGAGGGTAGTGGAGCACGCACAGGGACAACCATCTCAAAAGAACCCCAGTTCCTGCACAAGGTGAGGAACCTTCTCTTCTTCAAGGAGCGTCCATGTGTGTGCTCCACTTTAGGTGACTGTAGAGCAGTGCCCCTCTATGGAAAGGAGGGGCTTCGAAGTTGCAGCCATGGCAGATGATAAAACCAGTTACCAGTAAAGCATCTGATGACAAGTGCTGCTCTATGGCATAATGCTGTGTGAATGTATAGGCTGATGCCCAGATTGCTGCTTTGAAGATGTTCATAATTGGTACATTGTTGAGGAAGGCCATCAAGGCAGAGTGTGCTCTGGTGGAGTGTGTATGGATCCCTGGTGGGCGTTCTAGCTGTTGATGGCGACAGCAAAGGTAAAAGCAGCTGGAGATCCATTTATACCGCCTGTGTTTGGAAATGGTATCCCCCTTAGATCATTTTGTGATGGAAAGAAATGACTTTAGTGACTTTTTGAAAGACTTTTGCCTCTCAATGTAAAATGCTAGCGCTCTTCGGATCTGGTCTCAGGGTAATAGTTTTAAAAAAATATTGTGTAGAGGGTGTGGCATAAGGGCCCTGTTCTCCTACTGGTCGGGCAGATGTGATAGTGACGAGAAAGGCCACCTTTAATCGAGAGGTGGAGAAACGAATGGATGGATGGTGTTGGATGGGTCCAGCAACAGAAAAAGTGGCAGGTGTCTGGTCCTTGACCGAACCCTTAACATTGTTGTTTAGAGGGAAGTTGTTGGGATGTTGAAGGCTGGGAAGGGAGTGGTCTCCATCTTGCAAGTCGTTGCCTCTGCGGGTCACGTTGCCTCTGAGGTTGTGTGTAAGGCGCAGATCTAGATCTTTCCATCGTCAAGTAATACCTCCCCGAGTGTGTGTGTGTGTGTGTGTCCCCAAAGATCTGAGTCATTCGGGAGTCCTTCAAAGTGTGAAGGGACTCGTGTGTTTTGGCTGCAAACAACTTGGGGCCTTTGAACAGGACACAGCTGGTTGTACCTCTTTGGGAAAACCAGAAAGGTGGAGCCAGGAAGCTTGTTGCATTCCTATGGGCATGGCACTGAAATGTGCTGCCATGTCTGTAGAGTCCAATAAAGTTTGTAAAGTTGTGCAAACTAGGAGCTGATCCATGGATATAAACGCTTTAAATTGTTTCTTTTTGTCCTCAAGTATGTGTTCAATAAAGTCAGACATTGAGTAATCTGAGTGACTGTATTTGGCCATTATAATTTGTGATGTGCTTTATAATTTGCGATCCTAAAACCGTAGGACTGCTTAAGAGTAAGCTTTACGTCCAAAAAAGTCCAACCTTTTCCACTCCCTGTCATATGGGGTGGATCTGGAATGGTGTTGTCTGCCCCACTTGTTCACGCCCTCTACCATCACAGAGTTTGATGTGGGGTGTAAAAACAGAAATTCCATTCCCTTGGAAAGGACATAGTATTTTTTAATCCGCTCTTTTGCAGACGGGCGGAATTGTTGCTGGGATCTGCCAGATGGTCTTAGCTGGGTCCACAAGATCCTCATTTATTGGGAGGGCAATCCTGGAGGAGGTCCAGCAACTTACGTTGGGACTCCGCAACTTCTTCCAAAAGAATCTCCAGGGAATCTGCAATCCTCAGACTTTTCCTGGAACTGTTTAAAGTCAATCCCTGTCATGGGTGGTGGAAGCACAATAGATTCATCTGGAGAGGAGGATGAAAAATTGGCATCTGGCATGACTTCCTAATCTGAAGTGTCCTCCAATTCCTCGACTGCCTCTTCCAGAGGTTCAGAGGGCCCAGGTACAGAGAGTGATGGAGAATGCCTTGACCTCTCCTTGAGTGGACTGGGAGGCTTAGGGTAGTGTGGGCAGTACGCTGCTCATGGGTCCCAGTAAGGCCACTGTGGTAGAAATGACATAGGTGGCAGCATTCATGGGTGTCTGTACCATCCTTGAGTTTCAGATCTGGTATTTATGGTGCTCTGGTGGACCTCGTCTTGTAGCTGTGAGGACAGGCGAGGAGTGATGGGGGGAGAAGATTTCCCCTTCTTCATTATCATCATACTCATTGCTAGATGAAGGGGGAGCTGATCTGGGTGGTGTGGTAAGATGGCACAATATCAAGCATGCTGGAGTAAGGTCGGAACCGAGGAGTGGAAATTCCGGTGCCAAGACTAGAAGATCTTTATGGAGAAGAAATTGCTGCGGTACCAAGAGCATCAGTACCGAGGAGGGTATTGTCGGCCATACTGATGCCTTTACCTCAGTGAGGAGGGTCATGTACTATGTGCTGTAGAGGCAGAAGGTGGCACCAGACTGTAGCACTGCCAAGCTGCTTGGTGCCACATGTTTGAGCAACTCTAGCAGTACCAAGGTAGGTGTGATAGCTTCCCTTTGGTGCCTTTTTCCGAGCCAGCCTGCTTAGGGTCTTTGCCTCACATAGTACCCATTGTACTGGATGTTCCTGCTACCTCAGAGATGAACGGTGTTGGTGCGGTCAGTACCGATGGGGTCCGACAGTTTGGGGAACGTCTCTTTTTGGCGGATTCCTGAGGACGGGAGGTCTGAGCCCGCTTATTTGTCGTCTTTTTGGCGCAGTGTTCCTCTGAGAGGGTGGTGGGGAACCTCTACCAGATGCCACCATTGGTGCTCAGTGCCCAGGAGGGGTCTGTGATTTCAGACACCAGGCACAGAGACTTTATCATAAGGAGTTTTAGCTGTAGATCCCTAGCTTTCCTGGCACAAGGGAAGTATGGCAGTATGAGCACTTCTATGGTAGGTCTTGCTCCCCAAGACAGCAGAGACATTGTGAGTGCCCATCAAACCCCAGGATTGAGGACTGGCAAGTGAGGGAGGCTAACTATACTACACTAAGATGTAGCCTAATAACTGAAACTTAAATTCCTAAGAATAAAAACAAAAAAAAATAAGAACAGGGAAGACATAGGGTAATAAATTAAACTATTAACTATTGATTAACTAACTAGTATTCTAAAATTAAAGATAGACTAAGATTAGCTCAGAGGTGCTGCCAATTGTTACATCTCAAGCCCACGGCAGCAGCAAAGAAACGGAGGGAGGGTTGGTCGCACAGCACTATGTAACCACCTGAGATGGCGTGAGACAGGGACAGCACATGTGTGACCCAACCAGGCACTGGAGAATTTTAGTAGCAATTACAAATGCACGGGCGCAGATTCACCTAAAGTGGAGAGCCCAAGGGGACCCTCCTCAAAGAACATCAGCAGTTTGCATGTGCTCAGTGGAGACTTGCTAGAGCTTAACAGATAACCTCTATGAAGATCCCATCATCACTGAGCATGCTCCATCTCCTCACAGCTCTTACACATGCAACATCTTCAGAGCTGCTAGGCTTACTCCAGGCTAAAGGAGCAAAGCCACACTTTCAC